TATGTTAAATAGGAGTGGTGAAAGTGAGCATCCTTGTCTTGTTCCCATTCTTTTTTTTTTTTTTTTTTTTTTTTTTTTTTTGACCAGTAAGGGGATCACAACCCTCGGCACAGTGCAGTCCACACCACACTCAGCCAGTGAGCATACTGGCCATCCCTCTATAGGATCCTAACCTGCGGCCTCGGCACTCCCAGCAGCGCACTCTCTCGAGTGAGCCACGGGGGTGGCCCTTGTTCCCATTCTTAAGGGGAAAACTTTTAACCTTTCCCATGCAGGATGATATTGGCAGTGGGTTTGTTATATACGGCTTTTATTGTGTTGAGATACTTCCCTTCTATACCTAATTTGCTGAGAGTCTTTATCATGAAGGGATGCTGAATTTTGCTGAATGCTTTTCTGTGTACACTGAGAAAATCATATGGATTTTGTCCTTGGTGTTGTTGATGTGGTATATCACATTTATTGACTTGTGTATGTTGAACCATCCGTGCATCCCTGGGATGAATCCCACTTGATCATGATGTATAATTTTTTTTATGTATTACTGCATCCTATTTGCTACTATTTTATTGAGGATTTTTGCACCTATGGTCATCAAAGATATTGGCCTATAGTTTTCTATTTTCGTTGTATATTTGTCTGGTTTTGGTATCAGAGTGATGCTGGCCTCATGGGATGAGTTTGGGAGAATGGTTTTGGAATAGTTTAAAGAGAATTGGTATTAATTCCTCTTTAAAGTTTTGGTAGAATTCAGCACTAAAGCCATCTAGTCCTGGGCTTTTCTTTGTTGGGAGATTGCTTACTACTGCTACAATCTCATTGCTTGTTATTGGTCTATTCAGATTTTCTATGTATTCTTGGTTCAGTCTTGGTAGTTTGTATGTGTCCAGAAATTTGTCCATTTCCTCCAGGTTTTCAAATTTGTTGGCATACAGTTGTTTATAATAGTGTCTAATGATTCTTTGTATTTCTGTGGTATCAGCTGTAATGTCTCCTTTTTCATTTCTAATTTTTGTTATTTGAGTCTTCTCTCATCTTTTTTAAATTAGCCTACCTAATGATTTGTCTATTTTGTTCATCTTCTCAAAAAACCAACTTTTTTTTTCATTGATCTTTTGTATCATTTTTGGCTTCCTATTTCATTTAGTTCTGCTCTGATCTTAATTATTTCCTTCTGTCTACTAATTTGAAGATTGAATTGTTCTTGTTTTTCTAGTTCTTTAAGGTGTAGCATTAGGTTGTTTATTTGAAATCTTTCTATTCTTTCGATGTAAGCATGTATTGCAATAAACTTCCCTCTTAGTAGTGCTTTTGCAGTAACCCACAGGTTTTGGTATGATGATGATGTGTCTTTATTTTCATTAGTTTTGAGACATATTTTGATTTCCTGTTTAATTTCTTGTACCCATATGTCATTCAGGAGCATATTGTTTAATTTTCATGTGTTTGTATAGTTTCCAGAGTTTTGCTCATTATTGATTTCTAGCTTTAATCCATTGTAGTCTAAAAAGATACTTGAAATAACTTCAATTTTTTAAAATTTGTTGAGACTTGATTTATGACCTAACATTTTGTCTATCCTGGACAATATACATCAACAGGCCTCCATGGCCTAGTCCCTGGGGAACTTAGTGATTCCTTGCTGAAGTTGGTGACACTACGTTGGTTCGTCCAGAATGTGAGCAAGCTCTTGAGTTCTTGGGAGAAGCACACTGGTGCCCTGTCACTTTTTGGCTGTGGTGGGTGACCCTTGGCAGGTCTGTTGGCATCCTTGCTGGCTCCCCGTGACCCTGATAGGTACACTGGCATATACTGGTGCTCCTCAGTTTAAATGGATGACCCTGGGCAGATTTTCTCTTTCATACAGGCAGAAGCTTTTCCTGGGATTTTGCTTCCCCCTTGGGGGATGGGTTGGTGGTGACTGGGAATTTTCTTCCTTACTCTATTTGAGTGTCCTGAGTTTTTGTACTCTTTTTTTTTTTTTTTTTTTTTTTTTTCTTTTTTTAAAAAGCCCCCCCCCGCCCCCCCCCGGGGGGTGTGGGG